CTTCAAAATCCCTCAATTTGGAGATCTGCCTAGTTCAGAGTCCACTAAAAAGGATTTTTCATATACACTATATGGCACTGGCCAGCTACATAAGCCACCTGCAGGGGAGAAGACATAAAGAAAATTTGCCTTAAGAAGAAAAAGAGAATTTGATTAGTCAAGGAATTCTTTTTTCCTAGGGAGAATTACTAAATACTGGGGTCCATTAATCCATGAAACCTCCTTCCTGCAGGAGTTTTTATGTTTTGCCTTATCTACAATGGGTTAGGTATGGTGTTGCCTGAAGCTTCCTAGGAACAGGAAAATAAAATAAAATTTTTTATCAAAGGAAATGTTAAATAGTTCCCTAAGGCCTTACAGAGATATTTTAGATTCTCAAGGAAAACTGTAATCTTTTCTAAGATGGTTGTGACTAGTAACATTTAATAGCCTTCTTGTGTTTTAGAAAATTGGAAAATTAGCTGGTATATATCCAGCATAATGCTAGATACACAGTCACCTGATGTATACAACTGTATGATGGTCTTTAAACTTAACATCAGGGCTGTATATTAGTGGAAGCTACACCTAACTCTCCCTTTCAAAATTTACACATACCAAGTCAGTGTATAGTCTGAATCTCTGTTTAAGAAGAATTTCTTTGTTCAGTTGCTGGAGCTTCTTGTTTAATTTTGATTGTAATTCCTTCTAGGACATCCCTATATGTTCTGGAAAGTCAGAATTAAATCATAGTTTAATTTACCAGGTTTAATTTATTAATATTCTCTGCATTCATTTTAATCTTTTTTGTTTTAGTTCTGAGCAAGACAAAGAAGAATGGATCAAGGTAAGCCTGTTTCTATTTTCATTTTTGTTTTTTGGTAACTTTTCTATATGTACACAAATGTGCACTTATTGTTTAATGTATAAACATCAGAATAAGTTCATTTAATCTTTAAGGTGATTCCTATCATAGATGTTTAATAAGGTATATTTATTAACTTGCATGTGAAACTTTAATGTGTGCTTTGAACTTCATTTATATTTTAGGCCCTTCAAGAAACTATTGATACTTTTCATCAAAGGCATGAAACCTTCAGAAATGCAATTGCAAAGGATAATGACATTCACTCAGAGGTTTCTGTAAGTTGAATTAAATTCTTAACTTTAAGCTCTTTTATATCTCTTTGCAGTTGCAAAAGATCTAATAATTTTATTAGCCAGTCTTTTCCCCTTGCAGTGCGAGAACTGGCTGTTTAGACAGAATCTCATTCCTTCATAGATGAATACAAAATAGTGGGTGCTTTTTTATACTGCTTAAAGTTCTTTGAACCTTGTATCTCTTTACCTGGGTCTTGAGTTTCAGAACATGGTTTGACCAATGTTATTAAAGTGCTTTTAAATAAGCTAAATAATTAAAGGAAGGTACAATATTTTCTATTAAAATTATATCTCTTTCCTTTTTAGACTGCTGAACTGGGGAAAAGAGCCCCAAGATGGATCCGAGATAACGAAGTGACGATGTGTATGAAATGCAAAGAGTCTTTCAATGCATTGACGAGGAGAAGGCATCATTGTCGAGCATGTGGACATGTCAGTGAGATTTCTTGGTCATTGAGGTTGCTTCACATTATATAAGTCATGTAAAATCATCAACTTGGAAAAGACAAAAAAAATTTTTTTGTTGGCAGCTTATTTTGGTGCCAACAATGTGCGAGCCTTTAGCTGGGCCCTGGAGAAAAAATGGTAAACAAAATGATCCCTGGCTTTACAGAGCCACAGTGCAATTGAGAAAATAGACAAGTAATTTCAAATTACTATAGATGGAATAAGAAAGGAATCCAGAAGCTAAAATGGAGAGTATAAGTAATGCAGGGAAATTCAGAGCCAATTTTAGTTAGAAAAAGGAAGACGAATCTGAAGGGTTAGTATTTTAAAAGGTGAGAAAGAACTAATCATAAGATAGGAGACAGGAGGAACATTTCGGACAGTGACTGCGTATGCAAAAGTCCTGAGGTAGGAAAGAACGTGGTCTGTTCATGAGATTGCCAAAAGATCTGGTGGCATAAGAAGTGTTTAGGAAGATAAATAATGACCAAAGGTGTGATGTCTTGGAAAAGAGAACAGATAGAACCCACAGTGTAAGTGGAAGTTCTGGCTTTTGATAGGGAAAGAGAAACTTCCTGCATTATATCAGAAGGAAAGAAGAAAAAGATGGGTGCAAATGTAGGCAGTTTGGGTGTTTTGTTTGTTTGTTTGTTTGTTTGGTGGTGGGAAATGAGGGAGTTCAGGTCCAATGTCTGTATTTTCATTGAAGAATGAGGCAGAGTCATCAGCTGAGAGTGAAGGGGGAAGGAAAAGGAGACTCAAGAAAGAGGACTAAGTATGAAATAGTTTTCTCTGAGCAGAGAAGAGTGAGCCTGTCAGAGAAACGAAGGTGGACCAGAGGCCCATTTGAAGTTTAAGGTTATGAGTTTAAAGGGACACTAGTCAATGGCAATGATTTTTTTCTAACAAGATTCAGCAACTCAGGATAGAGAAGGCAAATGGTGGGGTTCATCCAG